AGCATGACTGCAAGCGTCTTTATCCACTAAGCCATCTCACTGGCCCAACATTTCACCTTAAAAAAATCAGTTCATGCCGGGCGGTGGTGGCGCACGCCTTTAATCCCAGCACTCGGGAGGCAGAGCCAGGCGGATCGCTGTGAGTTCGAGGCCAGCCTGGGCTACCAAGTGAGCTCCAGGAAAGGTGCAAAACTATGCAGAGAAACCCTGTCTCGAAAAAAAAAAAAAAAAAAAAAATCAGTTCACAGTGGTCTGAGTTAGTTCTCAGCCCTTTTTATACCTGACTAGTACTCACTGTTTGTTTATACTTTTTTTAAATTTAGTCCTCTAATAATACCAGTTTAGATGAACAGTATTTGACTGCCCAAAATAGTATGAGCTGGGGTGTGTGTGTGTATGTACCCAGCAAGTGTGAGGTACTCAGTTCAATTCCCACCTCCAACCCCCTCAAAACAAACAAAATAGTTCTGTAATTAATACTATTTGTATACTTTTTTTTTTTTTTTTTTTTGAGACAGGGTCTCTACATAGCCCCGGCTGTCCTGGATCTCACTCTGTAGACCAGGCTGCCCTCAAACTCACAGAGATCCACCTGCCTCTGCCTCCTGAGCTGGGATTAAAGGTCTGCGCCACCACACCTGGCTGCATATGTCATGTTTTGTGCTGGTGTGTAGATGGCTTTTAGTGTCCTGTGGTAATCAGAGTTCAAGAGCGCAGGAGTGGCTTGTACCATCAGTTAGTCACAGAGGCAGGCTAATAGAGAAGCAATGCTTTGGGAGTGGGAACTGCAGGGCCTGATCAGAAGCCAATACCCTAGTTTCTACTTCCCTGTCAGGAAAGTGCTTTGGAAAGAAGGAGAACCGCTCCATAAAATGTGAAGTAGATGATTGCTGTAGTCAGCCTGGAACACAGTCAAATGAACTGTAACACAGGAACTGTAGGTCTGCTTTAATAGCTCACTCATAAACTGGACAGTTCTATTGAAAGATGTTACTGCATTGTGTATTTGTCTTTAGTAGCCATTTCAGACCTGACTGGCCTCTGCTTTGCTGTTGTGATTTCATGACTGCCTTTTCCCCTGGGCCTCAGATCCCTGGTGGTAACTAATGAGTATCTGCTGCAGCAGCTGAATAAAGAGCACAAAGGCTATTCCGGGAAATCGCTCCTGCCTCCCGAGAAAAGTCATCCTTTGGGGAGATCGTCACCCTTTGGGAAAGGCACGCTGTCTTCCTCCTCACCAACGGCACACGACACGGGTCAGTATCTAATACAGAGTGTCTCAGAAGCTGCCCCCGAGCCTAGCTTGTGGAGCTAGCACTGAACCTTCACACCAGCTCCTTCCCCCATGGAGGGCTCCGGTGCCATTGTCACAGTGTTGGGTAGTGGTGTTTACCCCAGAGATTAAGAAAACAACTTTGATAATTATATTGTCCCTCTTTTATTTTTCTATTTGTTTCCTCCCATTTGGTCATTCTTTCCTTCTGCCCACACAAATTGTTGGCACTTAGTCCTAGGCACCATTTCACACAGAAACATTTGATTGAAAATGTCAGGAAGGAAAAAATAGTAGACACTTTTCGGTGTCATTTGAGGCTGTGGCAGAAAGTTACAGAAGGACATCAATCAATGTCTTTTGTGTTAGATGAATTTCCAGAGACTCTGAAACATTTGGAGTCTCCATATGCATAGTGCAAAGGTGTCCACTCTGGAGGAGCCTATAGCCTGATAAGACTCCTGTGATGGACCTCAGAAGTTGATCTAAAGAAAGCTTGGAAGAAGAGGGTGTGGGTGGATCTTGCAGATTAGGATGGTTACAGGGAGATAGTGCAGAGCCTCCTAGACTAGCAGTGCACAGTCTGGTGACCTCTGAGGGACCAGGGATTGGGGTCAGGGGCAGAGGTGGGATGTAGAACCATGAGGGTAGGTAACTGGATATCAGTCCTAGCCTGGAGAATGCCATGTCAGGAAAATGTCCCCAGAGGACAGTCAACCAAGACCTGAGGACAAGCTGGTCGCTAGGCAATGTGCAGGAGCAAGGGCAAGAACAGCAGGAAAGTAGCAGCTGTGCTGTGTCTCAGAGAGTGCCCAGGGAGGGTGGAGGAAGTAGCTGCATGGCTCCTTGCAGACTTTCCACCAAGGGGCAGAAGAGAAGGGCTGGCATTCCAAAGGCTTCCTCTCTGAGGAGAATGGGCTCCCGTGGAAAAGAACAGGCCCGAGCACAAAGAAGCTGGACAGCAGGAGCAACAGGAGCAGGCCCACCTCACACAGCTCGTGAGCGAGCATGCCTGGGGTCAGTGTCATTGCACACGTGAGGGTACACATTCTTTGATCCTGATCGATCAGGTGTCTTAAACCTCGGTGGGCCTACTTTTATGTCAGCTCTCTCCAGAGCAGCTAGTGTTCAGAAAACAGAAGTTCTCACACCTCTTCACCTGTTAGGCCATGTCAGGAAGGGAGGTGGGATAAGACGTTGATTCCTGTCCCTACTCAAATGCCATGCAGGGAAGGAGCCCTACTGCCACACTGTGGGCTGTGAGTTAGAAGTAAGTCCACAGACATCTGGGTTTACTGGCTTTTCAAGAGAAGCCAAAGGGTTTTTGATCTGCGTGCTCCACAAGAGCCACCTTCTCTAGCTCCTTGTCCCATGAAGAAATCTCCATAGAGCTTAAGCCTTGCATAGAAAGGGGAATGTCTGAGTTGTCACATTTCAGAAACGCAATTCGGGGTGCAAACCAACCTACCATGCAGACAATCATGGGCAAATATTATAGTTCTTTGTACCCCACCCTCTCTGCCTCTAGTGTGAGCATCTAGTGGTGGCAGCCTGGTATCTGCTCAGAGCGCCTCTGAAGAGGAGCAAAGAGCCTCCCAGACTAAGCCACCTTCACTGCCAGCCCCCTTTGTCACAGAAGTGGCTGGGCCTGCCTCAGGCCAGCAATTCTTGGGGCTGCTGGGCATTCCTGGGTAAGTTATCTCAGATTCTGATTTTTCCTAAAGTGTCATGTAGTCCTGGGGACAAAAAGTAGGTATTTATAAATGTCAAGGGAAAGGCCATAGTGGTCACCATGAAGGGCTAACTGGATCCAACTTGGAGGGCAGAAAACCTCTGAAGCAAAGGAAAAGAGTAGAGAGGCGGTCACTGTAGGCCTGTAATACTCGGAAGAGAAGACAGCAAGCCTGGTGTGCAGCCAGGCCTCAGGGAGGTAGCTCCCTGCCCAGAGAGAGGGCCTCGACTTCCCCACTGTAGACAGGTGTTTAACGGGGTGTCTCTGTCAGCCTAGCCTTGCTAGAGAAGGTCCCACAGTTTTCAACCTTGGCCCTAAGTGGACCTTGAGCTGCTTCTGGCTCTATGTGGCTTTTCAAGGAAAACAAGGGATTTTACTCCTATCCTGGAGAGTTTGGGGCCAAGCATCTCTCTCTCTCTCTCTCTCTCCCCCTTCCTCCAAGCCATCCTCCTGCCAGTCACAGGAATGAACAGGTTGCTGCTCCCTCCCCTGCAGCTCTAGCTGAGGGTGAGGCTGGGTATGGATACAGGTGGACCCATTGGCCATGAGGGT